GGAACACTTCATCTAAAACTAATGATGTAATGTATGGGGATTAACATAAGAATAAAAAAAAATAGCTGTAAAAAAAAAAAACATCCATTCTAGAGGTGCCTGGATAGCTCAGTCGGTTAAGTGTCTGCCTTCGGCTCAGGTCATGATCCCAGGGTCCCATTGAGTCCCACGTCAGGCTCCCTGCTCCGTAGGAAGTCTGCTTCTCCCTCTGCCCCTCGCCCCCACTCATTCTCTCTCTCAAATAAATCTTAAAAAATCCATTCTAATTCCCAGACAAATGCAAAACAAAATGACCACTATTTTTAATCTTAAAGATATAAAACAAAGTATAAGCAAGAGTTGCCATATTCTTATATTGTTGATGGGGCATATAAATTGATGCTACGTTTGGAAAGTCATCTGACCCTATCTGTCAAAATTTCAATGTACAGACTCTTTGACCCAGCAATTCTGTTGCTAGAAATTGACCTGACAGACGTGCCAAGATTATGTCAAAGAAAATACATTACAGCACTGAAATAGCAACAAAACAACAATGAAAAACCAAAAAACTAGCTGTAAATAATCTAAATGTCCATTGATAGAGAACTGATTAAAGTATATCTACTTAATGAAATACCATACAGCTGTTAGGAAATGTGGTAGATATTGTAGGGGAAGATCTCCAAGATACGCTATTAACTAGGGCACCTGGGTGGCTCAGTCCGTTAAACGTCTGCCTTCGGCTTAGGTCATGATCCAAGGGTCTTGGGGATCAAGCCCCGCATCAGGCTCCCTGCTCAGCAGGGAGTCTGCTTCCCCCTCTCCCTCTGCTCCTCTCTGTCAAATAAATAAATAAAATCTTAAAAAAAAAAGAAAAAGGTATGCTATTAACTAAAAAAACCCCGAAGAGTGCTTATAAAAGCAACAGAGGGTATATACTGTTGCATATGTAGGTTTAAATGACATAATTGTATAGTGGTCTATGATAAAAAATTGTTTTGAAAGGATATACACACAACAATGGTCATCTTTGGGGAGAGGGACCAGGTATCAGAAGTCAGGAGGAGGAGACTTCTTTTCACTTTAGACCTGCTCTGTTTATCTCATTCTATCTATACATTTTTTAAATTTCCTTTTTCTTATTAACATATGCATGACCATGTTGTTCGTATGTGCTCTTTTTAATAAGACCATCTCTGGGTAGTCAATTTCTTCTCTATACTTTTCTACCTTAGGAAACTATTTTTTAAAGAAATCATAAGATTAAAAACAATAGCCATTAAGCAATATCCTTCAAAAACAATCTTTCAATGAAACTAAAAGCACTACCTCCATCTCAATCAAAAGAATACCACAATAGCTTTGTCAAAGTCCTTATTCAAATTAAGATGGACCATATCTGCAGTTTTCTCCTAATATATTATCTGGCAACTCTATTCTAAAAGGAAATGAGCTTCATTCAGAATGCCCACCAACTCTGAAAATAATTCACTATGAAAGTCATATAAATGTAAACAGGCAAATCTTGAATTCACTTTAAAAATAAAAATCCACTGCAGTATAAAAATGATATACCTAATGTTGTATGCAACTTAAACCTGTGTAACTGATTTTTATAAGCTTCTGGGATGGGATTTTTTAGAAAATGAATTATGATACAATGTTAATACACCACATTAGAGACAGTGTATATGTATCAAGGAACAAATTTGTATATATTTATTATTAAATCATTAATTTTTATAAACCACAAAGAAGATTCCACACCAATATTTTTGTACCTTAATGTTTGAGTTATTCAGTTCATTTTTTAAAGAATATAGAAGGTATTTCCATAATAGATTTCCCAACTAACAGAAATGTAGGATTTTAAGTGCTATGTTAGGTTAAACATTTTTAGCAGAAAATTTTAAGATTTTATTTATTTATTGAGCACATGCACGTGCTAGCGGGGGGAGGGGAAGAGAGAATCTCAAGCAGACTCTGTGCTGAGCGCAGAGCCCAACGTGGGACTTGATCTCACAACCCTGAGATCCTCACCTGAGCCAAAATCAAGTTGAACACTTAGCCAACTGAGCCACCCAGGGCTCCAGCAGAAATTTTTCTAAAATGCACAGTCCACTTTACAACCATACAAAACCACAAGAAGACACACTTTTGGGGGTCCACAAAGTCAAAACTATTCTTAAAATAATACTAAGATGCTATTTGGCTTTTTCACCTCTCAGTCTCTCATGAGTACACTGAATTTTTCCTACGTTACATGACATGTGATATTCTCATAGACAGTCTTATGACTGCAGAAGAAGGCATGAGAATTTAGCACTTTTATTATGTCATACGTTAAAGAAATTTGTAAAAATGTAAAGCAATGACATTCTTCTAATTTTTTCTTTTGGAAAATAGTTTCTTTCTTCCCCCACAAAAAACAGATGTTTTATGTTAACACATAATAGGTACACTATTGTTAGTTTTAAATGTATTAATAAATACTAAAATTCAGTTTCAATTTCTAATTTGGTTAATATTAATAGACATAACCCACATAACAAAAGCTCTCTAAGGTCCTCAATAATTTTAAGTGTGTAGCAAGGTCCTAAAAACAAAATTTTGAGAACCGTGGCTCACAGGAGAGAACTAAGATTTGGGGGATTAAAGAGGAATGACAAACTGCCAATTTATCTCTACAGTTTAATGTTTACGACCAAAATGTATTTGTGTTATTACTTATATAATTAAAAAACGGTGAAAAATATAGTGATCCCTCTTGTACAATTGCCTGTATTTGCCAGTGTTTGCTTTAATTACAAAGCAGCACCCTCACAAAGCAGAGCTTTCCCCTTTCCAGCTGCCAACAACTCACTGTTGTTTTGCTGACTCAGGCCATTAGCAGTTTACAAAAGACACAGCTGTGAAATCTTGAGGGTTGCTGTCATTTCCTAACCTACTGTCTCTTCCCTTCTTGAGGCCCCTTTCCAACTTCAGAGACTCTCATGGACTATGGTCTATGCCCCGTGCTTTCTAACAAGACAAGGAAGGACGGGACAATCTTTTCTTGGTTGGTTCACTTTATGAAATATATTCACATTAAATCTCCTTAAATGGTTATTTCAATCTTAAGCCTATGATCAATGAGTAGCTTTCTTCATCAGGAAATTCCTATTTCCTCTAGAATAGAGATGTGTTTTTAACCTGAGGGGTTTGGAAACTCATAGCAAGTCTACCCAACTGACCTCTGAAGGCAGTAATAAAATCCTTTAGAGTGACTGTGCTAATGAAAGGAGCTAGAAGGGGCAACCACTGTCTGTCCAGATGACTCCCTGTTGGAAGCCTTGGATGGCAAAGTACTAGGAGTATGAGGAGGGGGAGAGAGGAAGGCAGGAGCAAATATTTATTGAGCATCTACCATGGTCCTGGCACTTCACACCCTTTATCTTAATACTAGTAGCCACCTGAGGTGAGAAACATTTGAACTTCTCTTAAAAAAATGAATGCTCAGAGACGTGAAGTAAATCTCCCAAATTCCCCTAGCTAGTAAAGGGGCAAGACAAGGAACCAAATTATACCCGCCAGACACCTTATGCCCCGTACCATCACTGTACCGTGCTGACTCCATGTTTCTTCTGACAGCCTATAGGTCCTCTTTCCAGATCTCTCTAGCCCTAATGGTGTACAGCCCCCTTTCCTACATTTTCTACCCTTGACCATAAATGCACACACCTTCATTTCTGCCTCATACAGCACAATTTCAGTTGAGGGCTGGTGGTAGAGGTAGAGCTGTAAATGCTCCCGTACATCCTCTTTTCCCCATTATCTGAACTCTCTCATATTACATATAACTCTGGATTTAAAAATTCTAATGGAGTAGTATGTCTTGGAAAACAATCTCCTTGTTAACTGAGGTTTGGGTTTTTTGAGCTACATATTCAGGTAAGAAATACTAAAAATTTCATGTTCCTACCTTTATCAATCAAGACGTGTTTATACAAACTAAATTTAAAAAGAGAAAAACTGTGAAAACCTTTTCATAATACCATCGATACCTACAGATCTCTAATGAGAAGTTGTTTCTGAACTGTGTGATCAATGGGTTAATGAGAATTAATCAACTCTCTTGATAGTTACCACAGTCAGTGTATTAAAGCCAGCTCTCCCAAGCAGATGTCCTAAGTCATTGACAGCAGTGAAAGGAGAAACGTGTGGAGAAAATCCTCCTTCCCTTTCTGTTTCTGCTAACTGTAATGAACACCGAAGTTCATAGAGTGTGTCACCTCCAAACATTGCGCCAATAAACACTCCATCTGGTTTTAAAACGTAATGAATCTGTAATAAATACAAGACAACAAAATTAGTTAAAATTTTATACTAAAAAAAGTTAGGATAAAAAATGTTAAAAGAATAAATATATGCTGTCTAAATCAATATTTTACAATCACCGTTCTTATTTTGTCAAATAATCAGAAAATTTAATAAGTAACACCTAAGGCAACCAAATGTCAGAAAGAAACTGCTGCAGCATATGTATTATTATAAAGATGGACAATAATTCATTGATAGTATTGATACCTATAAAATATGTTATATGTTTTCAACTTTTCTAATAATAGACACAAATTACTTTTATAATGAGAAAAATACTGAAAGAAAAAAATTTAAAGTGTGGTAGGTTGCAAAAATCACAAACCTCTACTGCGCCCTTTAAATGTCACCCCCATCAAACAACTCCCATTAAAAATTTGAAGTCTACTTCCCCTCTCCCTGAATCTGGGACAGCCTTGTGACCTGCTGCGGCCAAAAGAATGCAGCGCAAGTGGCAGTGTGCCAGTGTCACAGAGAAGTCTGAAATGGCCTTCCACGAGTCCCTGTGCTGCCACCATGCTGTGGACAAGCCTGAGCCAGCCCAGTGAGGGGTGAGACCCATGAGGAGCAGAGATCACTCAGACACCCCAGCTAAGGCCATTCTTGAGAGGCCAGCTTCAAGACAGGCTAGAAGCAGATCACAGACACTGGCTTTGTGAGCCAAGCCAGAGCCAGAAGGATTTCCTATCTAAGGCCAACCCAAACTCCCACCCAATCCACAAAATCCTGAGCTAAGTAAACTGCTGTTTTAAACCATTAAGTTGGGGTGGCTTTTTAGCAGAAAAAGCTAATTTGTACAGAAATTATTGTGATTCACAAGATTAACCTAGTCAAACATTAGTTTCCTTGAAGGAGAAGTAACTAACTTACTTTCCAACTTTAAAACGAAAGCAATTTTTAATTGATAACTCAAGCAAAACAGTGCCTGTAATGGCTTCCAGAATCACAAATGTTTACTCACTGACTCTTAGAACCACCATCTGGAACTAGATTTGATGGACCATTCTCAACAATAAGGAACATTACAGGAGAAGGTAGATTCTGAAGTAAACCCCAAATCATAGTAGGCTCTCTCATCAAAGTATCTATCCTAAATTTATATTTAATAAATTATGAAGCAATTACAAAACAGTATATAAGCAAACTATAAAATCTTCACTTTCTTCCCTTCTGCCCTTTTAGTGTTGCTTCCTTCCCTTGTCACCAAACTGTAATATAGCAGGGATCTAAAATTCAGTCCTCAGCTCTCTGTAGCTTCTTTCTACCTCAGAGGTGCTTATTGATTCCCATGGATTTCACAAGGATGATTTCCAGTCACTATCTTTAGCCTGGACATCTTCCCAGAACTCTAAACTCATTTTCATCTGCCTGTGCCATGGATATTTGTCTCTTGGCAAACTCACCCTCCCAACACAACCAACACACACACACTTATTCTCAAACCCACTCCCCTCTCCAATTGCCATATTTCTGTCAAGTACCATTTTCCATTCCCTTTATCTGATCATTACCATTCTTTCCCCTGCTTTTACTAAATATTCTCTCAGGCATCCAGACTCAAAACTTTAAGATGAGCTTGGACTCCTCCCTGTCTCTGATCTTCAGATCTAACCAGCCACCAAACTGTTGATTCTTCCTTTACAGAGTCCCAAATACTCTCTCTTCCTGTTAACTCCTGCCACTGTCACCTAACTTCAGTTTCTCTCATGCTTGGATGATGGAAGCAGTCTCTTTAATTGAACCAAAACTTCTGGCATCAGTTTTCCAAGTAGCAAAATGAAGACATCTTACAGAGTTATTTATTTAATGCACATATAAAGCAGGGCACAGTGATTGGCAAACAGTGTGTGCTTAAGATATGGTAGTTATCCTGCCTGCCGGCCTTTTAAACATGTCACTTTCCTCTTCAAAATCCTCCACAGCAGCTCTGAATTGCATAAAGAATGAACTCTAAATTCCTTAATCTGTTACCCCAATCTTCCTAAATCTGGTCCCAAGATACTTTATCTCCCAGTACTATACTAATCTCCAAAGAGGCTTCCTCTCTGTCCCTTCATGCTTCTGAGGCTCTCATATCTCCCATCTATCCTGTGATTCTGCCTTCCCACCCCAAATCTGACCTATTCTCTAAGGCCCTGCTAAAGTAATTCCCTGTTCTTGAAGCTCTCCTAGGCTACTCCAAGCCACTGTGATCTCCTTCCCTCTTCTGAACACAGTGCTTTTTACCTACTCTTCACCAGTTCATTGATAAATGCTACCCAACAAACATACCTCACATTCTCTAATTATAAGGCACAGGGAAGATACAAATATGAACCAATAGGTTCCTACCCACACAAAATTTATAGGCAATTAAGAAAAGGGACCCACACAGAAAATGTCTTTTATCAATGTGATGTTAATATCATTTTGTCCAAGTCATTTTGTATAACTTTTCATAAATATTTAAAACATCTCCATAATTAGATTTCTTGAATTCCTAGGCAAGGGAGTCACTCAATGTACTTCTTAATATGCCAAAGGGCACCAAGTGTATCTGGCCCACAGAAGATAATAAATACTTGATTTGCTTTCATTTCCAACTATCAGAAGTATAAAATGGAAAATATTTGGAAGATTCTGATAAAAACAGAAATATTTAGAAGTTTCTAATAATAAAATAATACAGGCTATTAGAGAATTTCTTACCTGTTCAAGCGCTCTAGGAAGGTCATTCACCCAGTGTAAACTAGAATATTAATAACATTTTGGTTTTAGCTTAATTCATATAATTAGTATAATTATCACTCATATAAAGAAAAGCCATCAAAAAGGTATTAATTTTGAAGTCTAAAATTGCATATCAAAATTCATTGATTGTTTTCATACAAGTTTTAAAGCAAAAAATTTTCCTAGGGGAAAACCTTCCTTCTGTCACATGAGAAAATGTTACAGTACTCTAAATACTATATACTATTTATAACTTAATTTAGGAAATCTCTTGCATTTTTTTTTGCCTCTACTCACCCCCTACCAGTGCATGATGATATGTGATGGCAAGAATCATAGTTCTCTGTAGAGTTTGGTCATACTTTCCTGACACAGGTGGCATCCTCCTATGCTGACTTCCAGGATAGCACTGAATACCCATTTCAAACCATACTGTTAAGCTCACATTTATCTTTCATGATGCTTTGTAACAATTATTAGATACTTTAGAAATTAAGAAGGTCATATCACAAGCTCTATCATACTTATGGGGAAACTGAAAGCAACAGAATTAGGTACTTGCAAACAGAAAGCAGAAAAGCTAAAACTCACATTCTAACTCCCTGCCCAGGGCTCTTTCCCTTGACCAACATTCTCTGTAATGTTTTTCATTTCATGATAGAATGTGAATAATTTTCTAAATTTGCCAAGCATACCTTAAAAAGTATGGAAGAAATTACAAACTCACTGAAGGAAACAGCTAAAGTGCAACTGTTTGGGAATGAGGCGTTCCTGGGATATAGGCCTTTCAGTGCTAACACTAGCAAAGTCTTGGGTGAACCACAGTGACTGGTCACCCTAAAAACAGCAATCAAAAGGGCTGTGCTGACATGAGGAGCATGTTGAATCTTTGAAAGAAAATCTGACTATACAACAAGATAGGGGAAATAAAGTTACACACAGACTTTTATTTTTCCCTATTAGATGCTGAGTTCTTTGAGGACGGGATCCCTGTCTGCATTCATGTTTCTATTTCCCCAAAGCATCTAGCTCAGAGCCTCGTGTATTATAATCTATTCAATAAACATTTATATGTTTGTGTAATCAATGTGCAGGGACATGGTAGGAAGCACAAATGGGAAAATATAACCTTAAGGACCATATTTCTGTGTGGGAGAAAAACTGAAGTTGAAGGAACTACTAGCTTTTCCTTACTTGCCAGACTGAGTTTATAAGAGTGCTCTAATATTTGAATGTTGGAGCCAGTATACTCTTTCCAACTCCTGCCCTCATCAATATGGATACTAAGTTATGTATACTGGGGAGGAAAACCCCTGTATCACAGATGAGCTTTAGCAAATTGAAAAAAAGTTGGGGAGAAAAAAGTTAAGGTACTATATCATATCATCTCCACTAGGGAGCATATAATTCGTAATTCTTTACCAGAGAAATCTTACAGTTTATAAACTAAGAAAACTGGTTTGTGACTTTAAAGAAGTTATTAAGAATTTACTCCATTATCTATTTTATTTACCCAATAATATTAAAACTGTATACCATAAGTTATTTATAACATACATTTTTAAGAAGTACAAATAGATTACCAACCTTAAACTGCTAACCACCAGGTCAAATGTATTTTCTCTGAAGGGAAGGAACTCTTCATCAGCTAAAACACTAACAGTAGGAATTTCCATTTCTAAGATATTTTTCTAGTGGTTAAAAAAATAAAAGTTCAAAATACATTCAGAGAAAATCTGTTACTAATGCAATCATTGTTAAATTTAGTCAATGTTATATTTACTTGGCAGTTTCTATCCCTACCAAAAAAAAAAAAAAAACAACCAACCAAACAAAAAAACCCCAAAACAGAGCCACAGAGAAGCTCAAGAAGTGTTTCTTAAATGAGAACTAAGACCAGCCACAAAAACTGGCTAATGGTTTGGAAAAATATAAATAGGATACCTATCTCACACCAAAACAAATCTCAGAAAGCTGAAAGTTTCAGTGGAATAACTGAAGCCATAGAAGTACTAGACGAAATTATGGGTAAACATTTTTATACTCTTAGATGGTAACACTTTAAACAAACGTGACTCAAAAGCCAGGAACTGTAAAGGAAAAGACTGATCTATGTGATGATAAATTAATCAAAAACTTCTAAAAACCCATAAACAATGTAAACAACACACTTTGGAAAATATTTACAACAAAAATGATGAAATTAATATCCCTAAAAAAACTCTTAAAACTACCCAGAGGAAGAACACACTAAGGCAACAGTGCAGGCATAGGCACATCACAAAATTACTTACAAATTCACAAATTAAGAAATACCAATAGCCCAAAGACATCAATAGCTATTTGGCTGCATTCAAAGTGCAAATAAAACTATCAGTAAACTGATTCTACTTTCTGCCTATCAAACCGACAAAGACAGAAAAAATGGCCCAGTCTCGCCAAAGAAGAGAAAAAGTGCTTTCATATAATATTATCCTTTCTTTTTTTTTAAATTTTATTTTATTATGTTACCTTAGTCACCATACAATACATCATTATTTTTTGATGTAGTGATCCACGGTTCATTGTTTTCGTATAACACCCAGTGCTCCTAACAGTAGTCTGATGTATAGGAATTTATTTCCAGGGAGAAAAATAAATCAAATGTACCAAGTTGCTTTATGTAAGGATGTTCTTCACAGTGCTGGTTATTAAGAAACTAGAAATAGAACTGTCCTTCAATAGAAATTTAGCCAAATACACCATGGAATATTCTTATATTGGAATACGATACAGCCTTTTAAAAAGGTGGAATTTGTGCACACATATATCATTCATTGATATAAAAGAATGATACCCTGTGAAAAACATGACATGTTACCATTATACCATTTGTATAAAATTATATGTTGGGATACAGTTCTACATCTGCAAAGGTGGAGATCAAAATGTCACCCGTGGTTGCCCCTGAATGGTGGAACCAGGGATGATATTTTCTTTCCCCTTTACATTTCCTGTACTGTTTAATTCTTTATATGTGTTATACATAATCAGAAAAAAAAAAGCTATTTTCATTTTGAAGGAAATAAAAATAAAAACTAAAAATAAAACCAAGAGATCAGAAATCAATAGTGTTATAGAGCTACCTACCAAAGCATTTTCTGCAATGTCTACTTGGAAAAACTTTCCAACAGTTTCCTGCAATGGAATAAAGTAAATCAGATAATACAAAACAAACAAAAAACCACTAACAAAACAAAATAATTGTTGAAACTGCTAAACGAGAAAGTGGCAATCATAGAGTTACTTTCAGCTTTGTAAGGGTATTTTTCTGCATTAAAACCAGTATGGTAAACAACTAGCTACAATAACATATAGTAAGTTACACAGACTTAAATACATGCAACCATGCCTATATTTAACACATTTAACTATATTTAATAAAATACACAACATAGGTGTGAGTAATCAACCTCTTTAGTTCACTCCACTGGCTTAAGGCTTATGTGTTAACTTTTCCATAGCACAATATGCTGAGAGCTAGTCCCCATTCCTGGGCCACAAAAGACTTGGATAGTTTTCCTGCCTTTCAGCCGTTCATTCAAAGAGTTTACAAAGAGTAAAGAAAGACTTAAAAAACACAGACACTTGGGGAGAAGGGGAACTCATTGGTTTCATTTTCCCTGTTTCATCTCTTCTTTCTTCCTTCCAAGAGCACTGCACCATTTCTTTCCCAGATTAACACCTTCCACTATGCTCTTTTCTCCAGGATTCTGCTCCACCCATCACCATCTCTATTAATCTTCCATCTCTTTATTCTGTATCTCTTTCCCTTACCTTGAAACAGGCGTAAGCCTCCCAATCTCTCCTCACCTCTAACTACCTTCTAGTTCTGTTTGCAATCTACAACTCCAATTCTCATTAATGTCTTTCTCCTCAATTCTTGGTAACCCATTCCCACTTTCACTGCTCTAACAACACTATTTATAAAGATTATTAATGACCTAATCAACTAAAACAGCGTGTCGGCTTTCAGTCCTACCTTACCTGACCTCTTTGAAGTCCAGCACTGTTGGTGGTCTTCTAGAAACTTCTTCAGTACTTTCTACTCTGCTTCCCCTCCTTCTGATCCTTTTCTACTTCATGCACACTCCCTTCTTAAAGAACTTCCCTGTCCACAACTTGGAAAAGGTACCCTATTATTCCCTGGTCACTGCTAACTAGTCAAGTGCAACTGGTGTGCAGGTGAATGTTTAACTACAGGCTTCAGAAAAAAAAAAGGTGCCCCGAGTTGTAGTGTTTGTCAATTTAAAAAAAATTTAGTAAGTTTGATATAATCAAAATCTAAATATGATACAAACTGAATTAAGAAGACTTTCTGTAAAAATAGTCAAGTTTATTTCTTAAAGCAAATTAAGTCACTGAATACATATACCTTATTCAAATGCTGTGCTATGTAACCTCTTCCACAACCAACATCCAAAGCAAGGGAAAAATTTCTAAAAAATAGACACAGAAGTTATGTTTTGTCTGTAATAACACAGTCCACAAAACAACTACTAAAAACTAATTTTTCTTAAGTAAAAACATTTTAATGAACACAACTTTCAAAAAGTTACATCATCTGCCTTTTCTGCCTCACCTTATAAGCTGTTTCTACCAGAGAACATATTGAAGGAGCAAGTCTATCTAGTCCAGACATTCACAGGACCTCACAGTCAACTGGCTTTCCATGAGGTTGCTCCATGATGTGGATTCAAAGAACAAATTTAGTGGGGATATTTTAATTTAATAATATATACAAATAAAGAATGAAAAGAAGCTAACCTAAATTAACATGAAAATATTGGCATACTTGTCAGGAACTTAATTATCCCTTTTTCTCAAATTTGTTGAGGCAGCAGATAATTTAAAAATCATCATGTAAAATACCATGAAATACTAACATGTTAAACTAAAAACAAAACAAAACAACTAAACAGTAGCTAACTTTTACTGAAATCTTAGCAGGTTTGGGGCGCCTGGGTGGCTCAGTCGTTGGGCATCTGCCTTCGGCTCAGGTTATGATCTTGGGGTCCTGGGATTGAGCCCCGCATCGGGCTCCCTGCTCAGCGGGAAGCCTGCTTCTCCCTCTCCCACTCCCCCTGCTTGTGTTCCCTCACTCACTGTCTCTCTTTCTGTCAAATAAATAAATAAAATCTTAAAAAAAAGAAATCTTAGCAGGTTCAAAGCAATGTGCTAAGTGTTCAAAGTAAGTCAACCCAAGGTCACTCAACTAATAAGCAGTAGTCAGAACTTGAATTCAGTTAGTCAGAATTTTGACCCAGAATTACTATCCCCCATACTACATTGCCTCCTCTAAATATATGTCATACAAAACCAGTTCACACATCTAATTGTAAGCCAATTTCATATGACAAGAAAACTTAAAATTTTATCCACGAATAACATTTTTTATATTGGAAACAAAATTGGCAGTCCTTTTTCAATTTCTGTTAAAAACTTACGTCAAAAATATAGACCACCAGTACACAGTTGGAGAACTGGTGATGAGAAAGAACCATTTATTTACATAATGCCCTCTATCTTGATTGTGAACATAGGCAGTATGACATGGTAAAGTACACAAGCTTTGGGATCAGAAAGACATGATTTAGAATTCTGGGCCTGTAATTTATTGGCTCTGTGACCATGGACAAGTGATTTAATCTTATCGAATCTGTTTCCCCATCTATAAAATGGAAGTTACTACCTCCCTCAAGAGAATTTTATGAAATGGTGCATTTAAAGTATCTAGCACAGTACAAATGCTCAACAGAAGTTGGTTATAAGTTGTTACTACCACAGATTATAACAGTTTTTTTAAAAGATTTATTTATTCATGATAGAGAGAGTGTGAGCGAGTGCACATGAGTGGGGGGGAGGGGCAAAAGGAGAGGGAGAAGCAGACTCCCCACTAAGCAGGGAGCCCAACCCCAGGACCCTGGGATCATGACCTGAGCCAAAGGCAGACGCTTAACCAACTGAGTCACCCAGGAGTCCCCAGATTATAACAGTATTAAATGGACTTCAGATACCACAAATAAGACATTTAATAATCTGTGGGGTTATTTTTTTAAGAATCAACAAAACATCAGTGTGGACAATATAAACTATACTTTGTAACAATAGAATGTTAGTGCAAGGGCATTTACACTGTATTTTTTTAGACTGGTATTTTTAATAATTTAGTTCTAAAGAGTTAATGTTAGTTTAAGACATGCTTTTAGCCATAATCACAGGTCTCTCTGTAGATCTATGTTTTGCTCAGTACTATGACATAAAAAGATTATAAAATCCATACTGATTTGGAAAACTTAATGTTTCATTTTTAATAAATGGCCTAAAATCCAGGCAAATGAATGGCTGCAGTACACAGAACTAGCTATTTGTTTCAGAGCCTTAAAACAATGGAATAAAACAGATGAAATGGGGGTGATTATTTGTAACAATGAGGCATTTTTTACCATATGAAATTAATTCATCCCAAGATTCTTTTAAGTAGCAAGAATATTTCTAAAAAATGACTTGAGTTTTTGATTTTAAAAAAATTCCCCTTTTTATAAACAAATGTAATAAATTCATCCCATGTTGGTCTAATTAATGGATGTCTTTTAAACAAAAGAGCACAAAAAAGTGATTTGCTAACATCACAGAACAATTCTACAGTAAAGACATTATTTAACCATTATTTATGTGGTTCCTGCCACACAGCTGTAAACCTGAATTTGTAAAATTGTTATGCCTAATACACAGCAATGAATTCACCAAGGGTTTAATACTTCATTAAAGTGTTCTCTTCTCAAATCTGCCTCTATGTAATTGTCATAGAACCCTACTGCCATTAACAATACTTAAGATAAAATGGCCAAAGTCTCATATAACCTGAGTGGGGAACAAATCTAGGTAGATTTCCTTCACTGAGATAGTAAAGATTCTGTTTTAATTGTAGTTAAACTTTTAAAGCTAGGTTTATTAAATCTTAAAAATTCACAGCTGGTCAATTTTTACCTCCATTTTTGGAGCAATGTTTTCATTACTGGCTTTTAGCCAAATGAAACTGGATCAGTCATTCAGGCTCATAGAGAAGCTATGAGTTGTACTTCTATTCATTCTTTTTTTTGGCAAAAAGGAAAAAAAAGAACACTTGCTCTCCAGACATAAAAAAGGAGAGACTTGGGGTGCCTGGATGGCTCAGTCAGTTAAGCATCTGTGTTTGGCTCAGGTCATGATCCCAGGGTCCTGGGATCAAGCACCACATCAGGCTCCCTGCTCAGTGGGGAGTCTGCTTCTCCCTTTCCCTGTGCTCCTGCTCTCTCTCTCTCAAATAAAAAAAAAAAAAAAAAAAAAAAGGAGAGACTTAAGAGTGTGATTAAAATCACTAATTCCGGTAATAAATTCCTCCAGATTCTGCCATTCAAGACATTAAGCTCTCAGCATTCAATCTCTTGAATCTTCAGCCAAAAGTTAATTGTATTTTATTATGATAATCATTACTTACCTGGCTATGTCATACACACGGTCTGCAATCCGACTTCCAACCTGAAGGATTACAAGCAGCAATGATGTATAAAAGTTGTGTAGGTTTAAAAGAGAAGCAACACTTTTTCTTATATTCAATAATCCACATGTTACTTATGTTTCAACATGTTGATAAGTACTTCTCTCTATCCCATTTTCAATTTGACCACAAATTATATCAATTTGACCAAAAATTATAAACACCATAAATTAAACTATCCCAGGAAACAAATTCAGGCAAATTACTTCAGAAGTCCATTTAATGAATCCAAGACTAAATATTCATGAATATGTATATATTTGGCCTTTACATTGTATGTTCTATGTAAGATTACAAGGATAAGAAGCAACAGGAGCATAACAGATACATTATTGTCCACAGATATTAGCATGAGATATATGAAAGTGAAAAAATATTGTTAGCTAGGGTTTATTACAGATCAATGTATAAAGATCACTTTAAAACTCTATTATTTGGGGGCACCTGGGTGGCTCAGCTGTTGGGCGTCTGCCTTCAGCTCAGGTCATAATCCCAGGGTTCTGGGATAGAGCCCTGCGTTGGGCTCCCTTCTCAGCGGGAAGACTGCTTCTCCCTCTCCCACTCCCCCTGCTTCTGTTCCCTTTCTTGCTGTCTCTCTCTGTCAAATAAATAAATAAAATCTTTAAAACAAAACAAACAAAAAAACTCTATTATCTATAAAGACTCCTAAGAAATTCTGTGGAACTACTAAACAAGTAAACAACTTTTCCAAGGAACATGTGCAAATTAGAAAGTCAGCCAAATCTGAAGAAATTGCACTTTATGCTGTTCTCCCCAATCCCATCCCAATCTAAAAGAGGCCATAAGGTAGGTGCTTCCTTTTTGCTAGGCTAGCTTCATCTGTCAGGAATAAAGATGTGAGAAATAGTCCTCACACTCTACTATTCTTTCATAAACACCCCAGAGTTTCTATTAGGACTTGGAAGTTCAGAACATATGTGTATTTGCTTTGGGGGGTAGTGGGGGAAGGGCAAGAGGTATACCAGATCTACAGGCTTTGCTTGGAGAAAAGTGGTTAGAAATATACATCTTCTAAGTACATGTCATTATGAACCCTAAGAATGAACACAGTCATCATCTGGTCAGGCCAAGCTTGCACAGACCTCAAAAACTGTTTCTTGCTTCGGCTTTAAAGAGTTCACTACACTGAACTTCAATTTTGCTTCATCCCCAAAGAAACATTTACGTAGGCCTGAACTTGGTGCTGTGTGTCCAGAGAGTAGAAACCCTCAGTTTCTAGTCCACCTGGACAGAGGAAGAGGTCTTTCAAACAAGCACAAATCTGAGATCTTAATTTATCTTAATTACTTTTCCTAAAACATATATCAGATCCTATCACTCCACTGCTTAATTCAACAGGCTAGGGGCGCCTGGATGGCTCAGCCGGTTAAGTGACCAACTTGATTTTGGCTCAGGTCATGATCTCAGGGTTGTGAGATCTAGCCCCAGAGTTGACTCTCCCCTCCCCTCAAAACAAACAAACAAACAAAAAACCCATTCAACAGGCTCACATTCCTCTAGAACAGAACTGACCAATAGAAAAACAATGAGAGCCGTATGTGTCATTTTAATTTTCTAATAGCCACTTTTAAAAAGTAAAAAGGAACAGGAGAAATTATTCTTCACATATTTTACTTAGCCCAATATAACAAAACTACAATTTCAACACGTAATTAAGATAAAAAAAAACAACTGTTAATGAAATATTTTGCATCCTTTTTCACACTAAGTCACTGAAATCCAGTGTATTTTACAGATCCAGCACATCTCAACTGGACTAGCTACATTTCAGGCACTCAATAGCCACATGTGGCCAGAGATTACCATACTGAATGGGCAGTTCAGTTAGACGAGAAAATCCAAAATTCTTATCTACAGCCCTAATAACCTGCGCCTTCCCTGACCTCCTCTCCCACTCTCTCCTTCACCGAAGCTTCACTGGAGGCATCAACAAGGTCCTTTCCGCCTCAGAAACTCTTCACTTGTCCTTCACTTTGCTTATAAGGCTATTCCCTCCAGATCTTAGCTTGCCTAATTCCTCATCATGTCGTCTGCCTGAGCGGCCTTCTCTGACCATCGCAGTCATTATACTACTTCACTTTAGTACCTCACCTTACTTCTCTGGCTGAAATTACATTTCTTGTTCACCGACGCCCCCAAGAATGAAACCTCCTGAGGGTAGCGGTCTTACTCTGCCCAGGACAGAGCTGTAACTCAAGCGATATCTGAATGAATGAATGAATAGCACCTTACAAATATCCTCACCCACCCCTTCAGTGATTACAGTAGACGCTGAGACAGGCAGTGCAGCTGCTCAAGGTCACCCGGCGGGTGGAGTCAGCTGGGGTCGGCTGGGACCTGGCCGGAGCCCCCGAACCGGCGCCAGAGCTCGGCGCCGCCCTCCCCCACTGCCCCGCGGGCTCACCTCCTCCTTCAGGTAGTCAAACTTCATCGGCTCAGGCTGCCGGGCCGCCCAGTTTTTCTGTTTCCTCTTCAAATCCCGGTCGAAGATATTTAGGGCTCTGGGCGAGGTGCTGCCCGGGGGAGAGACGCCGGAGGCGACCTTCCTGAAGCGGAGGTTCTTCGCTGGGACCCCCGCTGCAGGAGGTCGCCGCCACAAGAGCCAGAAACCGCCCAGCCCCAGCATGTCCAGCGGTGACGCCACTGGCCGCTGCACTTACCTTGCGCATGCGCCACCGCGGCTCCGGCGCCTGCGCCGGAGATCGCCGCGGAGGGGAAAGGGGAAGTAGTTTGCCCCAGTTCTCTTGCCATCACGGCGGAGCGTTACGCGGAGAATTGTGGGTGTGTGTCGCACGTGAGACTTGGCGAGAGCTCGGAGGAGGTTAGTGGATTTGGGTTTCAAGAACCGCGGTGGAGGGTGCCGAACCAGTCTTTGACAGGGTCTTCTTTGGTTTCGTGATGGGTTGCGCCCTTTTCTTTGCCATTCCAGTGTCATTTTTCAGACTTCCTTGGTCTTCTCTAGGGTCCTGTCGAGGGACCTCAGCCCAGTAGCTGTGCCCTGAGGTTTGGGGTTAGGAAGGAGATCGCCGTTCTAGGACCACCCTGGTGTTCTCCGCTTTAGAGGGTGGGTAGAAGGGAGAGTGGGCTGTGGAGTTGAAGGTGGGCGTCGGAAGGTGATTCTCTGTCTGAATATCTGACGTTTATCGAATGCTTTCGTTGTAAACATATATATGCATTGTCACTAATAGTTGGATGAGATGGTACCTACCTTGTTCCCTGTTTGTTCAGAGGGGTAAATGCTTACGTGTATAAGTGCATCATTGAAACCTATGTGTCTTTTTTTGACGTATAAAAAATTGTTTTCAAATTTAAGGAAAAAATATAAGTCTTGCTTTCAGAACAAAACACTGCTACCCTGTTTGATCAGTTCCTTTCTGTTCTTAATAATCAATGACTCTTGGGACGCCTGGGTGACTCATCGGTTAAGCGTCTGCCTTCGGCTCCAGTCATGATCCCAGTGTCCTGGGATCCAGTGCCCCATGGCCTCCTTGCTCAGCAGGGGAGCCTGCTTCTCCCTCTGCCTGCCGCTCCCCCTACTTGTGTGCTCTCTCTCTCTGACAAATAAATAGATAAAATCTTAAAAAAAAAAAAAAAATCAATGACTCTTAGCTCTGCAAAAATCAAATCGAGTTGCTAAACCCTTACTGTTTTCAAGGGAACAATACTAATCTCTCTCTCTCTCTCGAACAATACTAATCTCTCTCTCTCTCTCTCTCTCTCTCACACACACACACACACACACACAGAGTCTAATTATGTTTTGGGGAGAACCAGCCCATTTGGGCCTTACTTACAGAATAAGAAATTATACAGAGAAGAGATGTTTATTAATAACTGGGATGAAAATTTACATGGTTTTTGAAGGATGGTCGGATTTAAAGAGGGAATTTTGTGAGCTGAATCTGAATTGATTTGAGTCTATTTAGTTAGGAGACTAACTAAGCATGAAGTAAGGACTAACAGAAAAAATGGGACCAGAATGTGAAGAGAGAAATAGGACCAACTGAGGCTTGGGAAACTTTTGATTACATTAGCTTTTAACTTGTAACAGATACACAGATATACAAAAAGAAATGTAGAAATTCTAAGTGAGTGCAATTGGCTAGTAAGCGTTTGTCTCCCTCTGTAAAGCCCTGGAATTCTGCTTGGTTTTGTCTTAAATTTATTTCTCCAAATGCTCTATAATCAAAAGAGGATATTCTGATAGTTTTTGTTTTTCTGTATGTGACTCAGAATAAGTTTGGGAAATGAAATTGGATGTGTTACTTTTATTTAACTTAGAATATATTCTGAATTAGCATTTTTCCCAAAGCATCTTTTTTAACTAACCCTTCATTATTGTAATATTTGTTTTACTTTTTAGGATTTTATTTCTTCAAGCATTTGTCCAGTCAGACATTTAAAAATGGCATCCAAACAAGAAATAATGAGTGACCAGCGGTTTAGGAAGGTTACAAAAGACCCAAGATTTTGGGAAATGCCAGAAAAGGATCGAAAAGTCAAAATTGACAAGAGATTTCGAGCAATGTTTTATGACAAAAGGTTCAAATTGAATTATGCTGTAGATAAAAGAGGACGCCTCATCAACCACAGCACTACAGAGGACTTGAAACGTTTTTATGACCTTTCAGATTCTGATTCAGATCTATCTGATGAAGATGATAAAGCACTGAACCAAAAGAAAATGAAGAAGAAAAAACCCCAGACTAACAACAAAATAGAATCAAAAAATCTAGTTGAGGAGAAAAAGAAAGAAACCAAGAAAATTAATCAAAAGGATTCTGGAGATAAAAATGATTTATATAACTCTGACAGAATCCAGAAAATGAAAAAGTCATGCAAATCTAAGAAGGTAGATTCAAAAATAAGTCCCAAGAAAGACAGAGAAGAATTTACACAAAAAAGTGCAACAGAGAAGAAAAGCATTGTTCAGCATTGTACAGACTCATGTCCCAAAGGAAAACTAAGCACAGGAGACTTGGGCCCCTCTGAAATTGTGAAATCTCCCAAGGTCAAGTACTCTGACACAAGAAGAGAAATGCAATCAGGTTGGTTGGAAAGAATTATATGTTCTTTGATATTACATTATTTATTTTTATACTGATTTTTTTTTTTTTAAAGAAGGCATATATAGTATTTTCATAGTATAATGGGAATGATCAAATGCTTATTTGGGAGTATAAAGCTGTGAAAGAAAAAAATGCCATAAAATGATTATTAATCTTTTATTTGGTGTTATAATGGCTAAGAGAGGAAAACTTGAGGCTAATGAATGATTTTGATTTGTGGTAGGCACTAGTGAGAGCTATATTCTTTAACCAGATAAAGTGTTATATGTTGTCATCACATAGTAAGAAGAGGTGTGTCTGAAGAGGGCTAGTAGAGTTGTGTGTTCATCCATCCTTCATTCAACTACTTTTAGTAACTAGTATGTGGCAGGTAGAACATGAGTAAGACATGGTCCCCCATCTTGGGGCTACTGCTAGCTTATATGATGCCTGTGCAAATTAGAAAAAGTTATGCCCAAAGGCGCCTGGGTGGCTCAGTCGTTAAGCGTCTGCCTTCGGCTCAGGTCATGATCCCAGGGTCCTGGGATTGAGTCCCGCATCGGGCTCCCTGCTCCATGGGAGGCCTGCTTCTCCCTCTCCCACTTCCCCTGCTTGTGTTCCCTCTCTAGCTGTGTCTCTCTCTGTCAAATAAATAAATAAAATCTTTAAAAAAAAAAAAAATTATGCCCTTTTGGATACATAGAGCTCTTAGAGTTCACAGTTTGGTAAGGGACAGCATCTTTGAGTGAAGCAGTAGGTTTATTCCCCCTGAGCAGACACAGCACCTCTGCAAGGTGCATAGCTTGTTGAGTGGATTTGATCTTGATTTCAGCCCTTCCCAAGATCCTATATTGCAAATAAAAGCCTGCTAAACTCTACAGTGGCACCAGCCTAAAGCAGCACTGTCCAATAAAAAATGTGTAATTTTGAATTTTCTAGTTGACACATTAAGAAGTGAAAAAACAGGTGAAATTAATTTTATTAACATACTCTAATACATCAAAAAACTGTTTTAATGCGTAATCAACTTAAATTTTAATGGCATAGTTTGCATTCTATTTTCATACTAATCTCAAGTATAAAATTTGGACGAGCCACATTATAAGTGCTCAGTTGCCACATGTGGCTGCAGGTTACATACTGGACACCACATATCTAAAGTGGAAGAAATTAGATCTGTAATATAATAAAATAATAGTAAGTGCCATAAAAGATGTTTAGCAGAGGGCTATGGGAATTCAGAGGAAGAGGTCACTCAAGATATGGTAACCAGAGAAAAATTCTTAGGGGAAGTACCATAAGGTTTGGAAAAAGTAAATTGAGAGACCAGAGCACTCTGTATAGAATGGACTTTTTGAGCAAAGATATGGTTGGATATGTTCAGAAGAAATCAGTATTCCCATTTGATTAGATAATAAGGTCTCTGAAGGGGTAAGCGGGTAATACAACTAGAAAAGATTGTTTGGAACTAAGAAACATCTGATTCTGGTTCATGCTTACTTGTTTACTGAGCTTATTAAAATTTGGTGTCCCCTCCAGTAGCAAGAAATTTTGAGTGTTGGTGTTGCCTGTTGTTTATGTTGTTAACTGAAAAATTGGTATTCAGATGAGCCAAAGGCTGGCCATGATTACAAGATCCAAGGAGGATAGGCATTGGGAAAAAGTCAGAGAGGACTTGACGGGCTGAGATCACATTTGAAAGGTAGGAGGTATCAGGCAGTGGGTAGAATTCTAGATAGCAGGGCCTAGGAGGTAAGAGTGGGATCTCTTTCCATTTGTAGTGGAACCAGGCAGCAAACTGAGGTATAGGGAGAGGGATAGGAGTTTGGTTACTGAAATTAGAAAATAAGAATAGGAACAGCAGCAAAGTTTGTTTGATGATGAGTTTGTGAGGCAAGTCAGTCTAGCATCTTAAATTTCACTTGATTTAGGGCACTGGATTAATAAAACATATCCATAAAATCCTTTGGATTGATTTTATAGAATCTTTTTGCATATCTTTTTTTTATTAAAATTTCTCAATAAGCTTGAGAAATTAGGATAGATTAATCAGGAAACAACGCTAAAGTGATTTATGTGAGGATACACAGAGCTGGGCCTGGAACTCAAGTCTTTGAAAAATCTTTCTACCGCATCATACTGCTTCCAGTAGTTTACATCGGTTCCACAGTCTAGAAAGGCAGTATGTGTAAGTAGGGATTAGTGACTTCATATGTAAACATCTTTTGTTCATTATTCATCAGTTACCAGCAACTACTCTGTGCAGAGAGGTTTTTTTTTTTTTTAAGATTTTATTTATTTGAGAGAGAGATCACAGGCAGGGGGAAGGGGTAGAAGGAGAAGCAGACTCCCCACTGAGCAGGGAGCCCAGTGCGGGACTCCATCCCAGGACCCTGGGATCATGACCTGAGCCGAAGGTAGACGCCTAACCAACTGGGCCACCCAGGCGCCCCTGCAGAGAGCTTTTTAAGTGCTACAAGGTAAAGGTGATGTGAAGAGTGCAGTTTGGTATTATGTGTCATAAAATGTTGATTCCCAGCATTGCACCCCTAAGAACTTATTTTAAGTAAATAATTGGGCGTTTGTGCAAAGAATGTGCATCTTAGCATTGTTTTTAAAATTTTAAAAGTAACATAAATCATTAGGGAATTGATTAAATAAATTGTGATATACCCAAACGTGTTTATGATATATGAAGTTTTAAAAATAAGTTACAAAATAGTATAAACTGTATGATTAGCTACTTAAAAAAAATTAGTGGGTACATCATAGAAAGCAAATTTAGGGAATTGTGTACCAAAACAACCATCCAGTTATCTTTGAATGAAAAATTACTAGTCATTTTTATTTTCTTAATTAAACCATATTTTCTTAATTTTTTTGCAATGAGCATTCATTATATGTATAAAGCATTTTTTTTTAAGTAGCTAGGTAAGTACTGTTTACAGTTACTATTAGAGCAGTACCATCCAGGAATAGAGATAATCCCACATTATCTAGCCTTGTACATGGTGGACTCTGAGCAAATATTTACTGAATGAATCAATATGCTGAATGTACTTGATGTTGTCAAAAATATTAAAATACTAGATCTTTTTTAAGTCTTGCGTGTATCAATTTATTATACAACCCAGAGTGTGGTATGTGTACCATTGTCATATGTGAAAACAGGGCATATGTGAGATGATATTCAAACTTTTTTATGTTAATAGTTATGTATTTGTTTCAACATCTTAGGAAAAAATGTAATCACTACATTACATCTGTGACTTCAGAGATATTTAGAGCAAAGCTAATTTTTTTAACTTAAAAAAATTCAGTTTAATGAAAAACAGTGAAATGCAAAAATCATTGAATGGTATAATAATGACTGATGCTTGAGAAATATTGCAATATTAGATAAAGCTAAGTCCCCAAGGTGTTATTTCTGAGCATATTGCTTAAAGGTGAATTCTGATGCTTGTCTTGTAGTAACTTTCTTTCACTTTTGTGGTGGCGTTTTTCTGATCCCATATGCAAAACTTACGATCATGCATTTTTTTTTTTGCTTTTTCACACCTACTGGCTAGTTATTTTTTATGTTCCCCCACTCTCTTATGTGGGTACATCATAGAAAACAAACTTAGGGAATTATGTACCAAAATAACCATCCAGTTATCTTTGAATGAAAAATTTAAAGATAAAATAAAAACCCATTTCTTTTCCTCCTAGCAGAACTCTTTTTCATTTAGCCTCAGGTCAAATGGTATCTTCGTGAAGCTTTTCTTATTATAAATACCTCTACAGGCAAATTTAGATGTCTCTTTCTGTGTTACTTTAGAACATAGCTTCATAAATCAGTAAACAATTTCTTTTTGTTTATGAACCCATCGGGAGCCTGAGATCATGTTACAAGCCATCTCCCTTTTCCCTTTCCTGAGCTCAATGCATTTTACATAGTAGATAATAAATATTTGGACAATGAATGACTATTATAAGATTATAGGACCAAGGAAAAAACTAAGTTTGAATTTCATTCCAAGTGTTAAGCTTTTAAATTTATTTTTTAATTCTGCAAGCAGAGCCTGTAAGCAGAAACATAATCTCCAACTTAAAGGTGAATAAAATGTGTAAGATACTGTATATCAACATACACGTATACCCACAATAAAATCATATGATTGCTTTAGAAATAGAAAATGAGTTTTTTCAGAGTTATGTGGGCTAAAAAATCCAACTTAAGTAAAAACAGTCTTTTACTTTTCGTATATCGCTAACCATAGTTAGTTACAAAGTTCAAGATTTAGCAGAAAACTTACTATTTTGCTCTGCATAGGTGATCTAATCCACATCACAACTTCTGTTATTACTACACATGAATGAGTGAAAAATTTTATCTCCAGCGTGCAACTTTTCAGAGCTGTAGACTCAGACGGCCAGCAGCCTTCTTGATATCTCCTCTTAGGCGATTCACAGGCACTTCAAATTCAGCATATTGAAAACTGAACTCATAATCTATCTCTACCAAACAGCAAACTGGTTCTTTTCCAACATCACATGTTTATCTATCCAGTTAGCTAGCTAGCTCTGCACGCTGGGAAGCTAGGACTCATCTTTGACATTTCTAAAACTTCTTTGTCCCATACCACAAGCCCTGGCACTAATTACTGTTGATTTTACCTCCTGACTCTGCAACTCTGAAGTGAATCCATTCACGTCTTTCTGTCTCTTTCTAACAGTTTAGTGCTACCTTCATCTCTTGCTAGGAGTCTTATACTATATTTCTAATTCTGTAGTCACATCTGCTTTTGACTCCCTCCAGTCAATTTTCTATAGCGAGTCAAGGTGATCTCACTGTGCAAATCTGATGATGTCCCTCTTTCTGAAAATACAATGGTGGCTTCTCACTGCTTTTATGACAAAGTCCAAACCTTCTACATGGTTTTTGGGAAGCACGGCCCCTACCTCACTTTCAGTTTAATTTCTTACTTGACGCCTGGCCATCTGCAATCCAGACATTCTTGCCAATTTTTTCCTATTCGTGGATATTTGCATTTGTTTTTTTTCAGTGTTTGGAACATGTTCCTCATCTATTAGTCTAATCTTGAATACCTCCTCTTCATCCTTCAGGTAGCAACTCAGTTACACTTATTTAGAGACTTTTATTGTATGCTTTTTATGTGTATTGATTTGATTGGTTTTATTTGATATCTGTCCATCTATCGTCTCGACTATTAAGTTCATTGAGGGCACTGATAGCTTCTCTTGCCAATAATTTTTATTGAGCACCTAGCACACAGCAGGCACTCTGTAATTACTGAATGAATATGTGAATCTACTTGTATGATCTGGGTATATGTCAAAATTTCTGTTAAGTAACTTCAGCATCAACTTTGCTGAATTTATGTTTTTTTAGTCTATTTCATAGAAATTATATTTTTGCTGGATTTGAGGTCAAAATAAGTTGGATTCAATTTAGTTGTGTTTACATTTTTTAAATTTCTCCCTGCTTTAATCTTTTTTGCAGTGATTCCACTAATAATGGCAAAAGACAGTGATGGTTATGGAAACTCTACAGGTGGTAGGATGTTTGACAAAGATGCTCTGGAGGAAGATTCAGAAAGTGCTAGTGAAATAGGTGATGAGGAATCTGAAGATGGAATAACAGGCACTGGTAGAACTTCAGCTGATGAAGATGATGTTGATGATGATGTTGATGGAAGTGAAAGTGATGAGGAGGATGAAGATGAGGATAGTGACGATGATGAAAGTGACAGTGGCCCTGATCTTGCAAGGGGTAAAGGAAATGTAGAAACTAGTTCTGAAGATGAAGAAGATATGGCAGATTTACTGCCAGAGGACTCTGGTTTTGAGCACGCTTGGAGAGAATTAGATAAAGATGCTCCTCGGGCTGATGAGGTGAACTTTTGAATAAATTATTTGTGAAAAGCACAGTAAAAGTAGCTTTTATGCATGGTAGAATTGATGTCATTAAATTGAGTGGGAAAACCTTTATTGGTAAATAATATTCTTAATGATTAGTCTGATTAAAACTTTTTGATGTAAAATAACTTCTTGATATGGAAAGTAGCTATATAAATTAGATGTCCGTCCAAGCAAATAGAGATTAGTTAAAGAAAGGTCACATGAAATTTTTTTTTTTT